GCACGCCGCTGTATCCCGTTCTTCGCAGCTGCTCGTACTCACGCGGTGCTCCGTATACACCGCACAGCACCGCCTTCCCGCCCCGAGGTTGGCATCTCCATCACGTAGGCTCGGCGCATACGTGGTGTGGGAGTGCTTGCACGAGATGTGCCGCGCGTCCGAGGCGGGGGAGGCGCGCGAATTCATTAAGTAATTAATTATTTGCACGAGATGTGCCGCGCGTCACGGGTGGGGGAGGCGCGCTAATTAATTAAGTAATTAATTAATTGCACGAGATGTGCCGCGCGTCCGAGGCGGGGGAGGCGCGCGTTCGCACGAGATCGCACGAGATAATAACGAGATGTGCCGCGCGTCCGAGGCGGGGGAGGCGCGCGCCACGGTCTAGTCAAGGGTACAAGGAGTCACTCAACTCATGCTTTGGCTGCCTGTATGGATGAGGACGAGCAGCCATGGCGTCTGCTCACCATGAGTTTGAATGCCCCATCTGCCTGTACCCATCCCCATGAGGCGCGCGCCGCCGGCATCGTCCAGCACGCGGTTCTGCTCGGCTTGCCCGCCTCCTCCGACCCTGCACGGTGGCGGCGGCTTCGCCGCGTCGTCGCGGGCCGGCTGGTCAACTGCTACCGCCCGGACGACCTCGTCCTCTCCCTCGCCCACCGCGCCGCGCAGCTCAAGGCGTTTGGTGTCGCCGGCCTTAGCCCGGTCCCGGCGGGCGCGGGCGTCGAGTCGTACAACGTGTCGCGGCTCGTGCGCGCGCACCACCGCTACCGCTTCACCGTCGGGCCGGTGCTGCGGCACGTGGGGCTCACGGAGGACTGAGGCGTGCTTTCGGTGGCGGAGTTTGAGGGTGGAGCGGCGCGGAGAGCAGAGGAGGGGCGCGCGCGTGCTGCATTCCGGTGCGCCGTGGTGTACCTGTGTTAGTGCCTGTGCGCGCAAGTCCCGTGCCCAGAAGACATAAAAAACAGACAGTCAAAATGTGGTTGGATTCCTACTGCCAATCCCTCCCGTGCCTAGATGGTGCCTAGTGCGCGTATGTGTGTACGGCTTTACGTATGTCCCGGATCTCTGCGCTCCGGGGAACGGGCGGAGCAGCGGGCAGCGCGACGCAGTTCGAGAGCGAGCGGCGGCGGCCGGCGGCGGCTTAGCACCAACCATGTCAGTGCAGGGGCTGGCTGCGTGGGCCCCCGCCACCGGACTCCGTCGGGCTCGCGTGTCTCTGCCCGCTGAGGGGAGCGCAGTGTGTGTGTCTATGTCTGTGTCTGTGTTTGTGTCCCTGTCGGCTCTGTGTGTGTCGTGTGTGACATAACGCTCTACTACTTACTTACTTGTATGTAACCACGATCGACGCGAGGACGCAAGTCCACACCAAACTCGCTGATTGGCTGATTGCCACAAGGAGGAGAGGTCATCCGGATGTGGCGGGACGCCGCCGGGCGTCTGAACCACACGTGTCCCTCCATTCACACTCTCCCAGTCCTTCCTGGTCTAGTGCCCGTCCTCTCCGCCCGTCGTGCTGAGTTGGTCGCACCTTCGTGCTTTCTTCGTCCTTCAGACGTTTCACCTAGAGCAAGCAGGGCGGAACGCCCCTTGGTCCACCCGCCGCCCGGGTGGGGCTTGCACGTGGCAGCGACTCGACTGGTCGCGTCAGCCCCTTTGTGAAGCCTGACACGCTATCCACTGCTCAGGCCATGCCTGACACGCCCACCAAAGCCTTGGAGTATTCCGAAATTCGGGATCTCCTACATGGCGCTAAACAAGAAGCTGATGCAATGGTGACGGAATGCAGTTTCGACCGTGCCGCCGCCCTCGACGGGCTTGCGGCGAACCTGGCCACTCTTCTCGAGTGGAGCCGACTGCATCACAGCGATGGCATCGGTTTCTTCCTCACTACGAATTGCGCTGTCTACATAGACAACATTGCGCCCACTGTTTGCTGCACCCAACACGATGCGGTGTGCTGCGCGCGCTACGAGCTGAAGCTGCTCAAGACGCGTGCCTTTGCCGACTTGCTCGAGTTCGTCGCCGATGACAGTCAGTCACCCACCGCCGATGATTTTGCGCAGGTCGGAACTGTCCACAAGACGGTCTCTGAGAGACAGGCTGCGGTTGTGGCCGAGATCGTCGTCTCCCAACGCGTCATCAAGCGGATCGACAACCTTGTCACCGAGGCGCTTCTCAAGGCCTTCTTTTCCGACGACGCGCTGCGGGCCATCTACCGCGAGAAGGCCGACAAGGTCAGTGGCGCTGGTGGCACTTCCGTTGCCCTTTTGGCTGCAATCCGCTCCGACATTGCTGGAGTTCGGCCGAAGCTCCAGAGGATCATCCTCGAGACTGTCGGCGTCAAGCCTTTTCTAGCTGCTGGTTTTGGCACTCAGAGTGGACGGGTCCACTCCGACTTTCGGCGGCGTTACCTCCGCCTCACCCGGGCCAACGATTGGCTCGAGGACGAGCGGCTCAATTCCACACAGCTTACTGCGCTCCTCCACAAGTTCCTCTCCGAGCTGACCAGTGCGTCTTTCCGATCCGACGTCGACGCCGCGCTGAACGCCATCGTCTGCGCGATGCGCAGCGCCGTCATCACGGACATGGATGAGGCCGCGGTTCTTGAGGGGGTCGGCAACGCCAATGAGGATGCCGACACCGCTGATTCCGAGTGCCGGTCCCTGCTCAGCGCCATCGTTGAGGTCTGCCGCCGGACGCGCTGCGACGGGGCGCTCGCTTTCGGCCTCCTCTGCCGGTGCATGGCCAAGCCCACCGACGATGTTTTTGAGGAGATGTTCTGCTTCCTCGAGTACTTCCGCCACCATCCCCACATCGGCCTCACCTACGAGCCGGGCTGGGATGGCGAGCGGGAGGGCGACGACCTCGTCGCCATGAGCGACGCCAGTTGGGAGACGCGCCGGTCCACATCCGGGTGGATCGTCCTCATGTGGCAGGCCACCGTACACTGGCGCAGCGTCCAACAGCCCTCCATTGCGCTCTCCTCTTGCCAGTCCGAGATCATGGCCGCTTCTGAGGCTACCAAGGACGTCCTGAGCTACCGTCGCCTTAAGGCCGAGCTCGAGTCGTACGTCAAGGACGGCGAGATCGTCACCCCTCCCGAGGCCCCGCCCACCAAGCAGTACTGTGACAACCAGGCCGCCATTGCCTCAGCCTACAACCCCGAGAACCACGGCAGGCTCAAGCACGTCGAGCGGCGCCACTTCTTCATCCGCGAGGCCATCGAGGAAGCCAAGATCTGTGTTCCTTTCGTCCGCAGCGACGAGAACCTTGCCGACTTCTTCACGAAGCCGCTCAAACCCCAGCGCTTCTTCGAGCTGCGGGACAAGATCATGAATGTCAAGGAGCCTTCCTCCCAGTCGGATGGGAAGTGAATCTCCGTCACCGATCCGTCACCGAGACGGAGCGCGGGCGCCGGCCGCGAGCGCGAACAGTGCCGCCCCGCCCCCACCCGCGAGAGCCATAGACTCTCCAGTGCATGTCATCCAGTCCATGCCCCGTCGAGAGGGACACTCTCCTCTCTATCCATGTGAGTGACTCGACTACGTCGAGGGGGGGGACGTCTGAACCACACGTGTCCCTCCATTCACACTCTCCCAGTCCTTCCTGGTCTAGTGCCCGTCCTCTCCGCCCGTCGTGCTGAGTTGGTCGCACCTTCGTGCTTTCTTCGTCCTTCAGACGTTTCACCTAGAGCAAGCAGGGCGGAACGCCCCTTGGTCCACCCGCCGCCCGGGTGGGGCTTGCACGCCGGGCACCTGGTTGCTCTCCTCCGCCAGACAGCCCCTCCCGACGGGGACGCCACCACCCTCGCCCAGGGATCTACAATGCTGTCTTAAGGTCCGACAAGGTTCGGCACCCTTGGCAGCGCCCGACCTCTTGACCTTCAACGGCACGACACTGCGGCCGCCCGGCAACGCAAGTATGCGGGACGAAGCTCACGTGCACCAGGCGTCGGAGCTCGCCGCGAGCTACTTCAATGTCAAAGCCAAAGTTGATACTATCTGTACGAGAACGGTCGAGAGCTGATCTTCGAAGCTGATCTCAACCTGTAGCTCTGTCTTCTCGCGCGAGAAACTGTGACCAGTTGTGTACCCCTAGCCTGCCCCCCGTGCCCCGAAACCGACTTAGCTATTAGGAAGCCCACGATAAGAGTACATATGATAGTTTAGACGATCTCTACATACGTTGGCCCTTACCAGACAAGACTTTCGTTAGATGTGAGCGCAACTTTCCTTTCTTTCGCGCAACAACACCGCAAATTTCCTCGCACAGACCTCGTCGCGGCTCAAAAGGTCAGGTATTGAAAAAAACTGTTCAGTTTTCAAAGGCAAAACACAACGCTCTGCGGTTGGTGCACCCCTCACACTGACACATTCCCCTCATCCCCGACCCTTGGCTGAAACATGTTCTGAGCACATCTACCTGCGAGCTAGCATCTCCGCATTTTCTCTTCCAGTCATCCGCCCGCGCCGCGCGCCATCACTGGGCGTCTAGTGCAGCCACTGACAGAGCTATTCCGAAGGAGTGGTCGACGCCTCGCCTAGAGTTCGGGTGGACTTGCGCACTGCTTAGCCCTGAGGGGGGAGTGTGTGTGAGGTGGTGTAATGTTGTCCCGTTTCAGGCGGCAGGTCAGGGGATTAGCCGGGAGGATTCGGCAGCTCAGCCCCTGCTGGCTGAGCGTCTGCAGGCAGCCTTCCGCCCGCGCCGAAATTCACAGCCCTCCCGGGCCGACGGGGTGCTCCTTGGATCGGGCCCCGCTCCCCGCTTTTCCTGTACCTGGACTGTCCGGGTTAGGAGGGTGAGAGTATTGGGTGGGCGAGGGCAGTACATCTGGCGGGTGGCGATTGAGGGACAGCGTGGGTTGATTGGGGGGTAATGGGCGCGCGGGCGGCGCTTCGTGGTCCTGGGCGAGCAGGGGAAGTGGTTAGGAGTCTTGGGCCCAGAGATGAGGATTGTCGAGATGTCATGCGAGAGCGGTGGGTGGGCGAAAGTAGCGCGGCTGGAGAGTGGTGTCCGAGGGACAATGGTGAGTTGTCAGTTGGGGCGCGAGACGCGCGGGAATCATACTGTATAGGGTGCTGATTGTGAGCTGAGTGCATGGGTGTATGGGGTTCAGAAATTTGTGGCGTCGAGGTTTGTGCATTGGTGGCTGGCGTAGCGGTCAGAGGTTCGCATTCGGGCCGGTTGGCTGCGGGTTCGAGGCCGGGCGGGGGGGGAGGGGGGGGGCACACCTCACCCTCACCCCTCACCATCCTCAAATCCTCGAATCATCGAGATCATCGAGAGCGTCGTGAGCGTTGATTCCGTGCTGATTTTTGCGCGCGAGCGTCGCGATTTTTGGTCTGGTTGGTCCGTCGTGGCCGGTGCGCGGGAAAGTCGCCGAAAACCCGCGCAGCCGGCCGATTGTACGACCGAGATCGCTGAGTTTTGGCGACGCGGCGCGCGCGTCGCCAAGGAGTTCGCAAAATGTCAGAGTTTTTTCAAGGTCAGGTATTGAGTGCGTCATTTTGGCGGGGTCTTCATTTTCGGTGTCGTTTTTAGAGAAAAAATCTGATTTTAGAGGTGTGGGTTTAGCTTCCTGCATCCTGGCGCGTGCAGCGCGCGATTTTTCAAGAAGGAAGTGGACTTTTTTAGGCTGGAGAAAAGCGCGTCCGTACAATACTGTAGCCCGAGGCTCGAGCCCCGCACGCAACTTTCTGGTAAGGGCCAATACATCAAACACAAAACGGCGCAAGACGGCGTACGTATTTCCGTATTTTGACAGGCAGCTACGTCCCGTATGTCCCAGAACGTGCGGCCACATCTCGGAGAGAGGAAGATGGGAGGTCGGCCTTGAGAGCTTACGGGGGTCGCCCGCGCCAATTAGGAAAGCCGCATCCGCCCCAGGGGCGTAATAGCCCGAACCCTGAGGGATCCCCTATTGTGATGTTAAGTGTGGGTTAAGAGGGAGATTCGCGCGAGGGATCCCTACAGAAGGTGGACGACGCTCGGCACCTCCGCGCTGGGCACCTGCTCCCAGTCGCTGCAGTGGGCGATAAAAGGGTAGCAAAAACTCAATCAGCTGATTCAGAATCTAAAGATTCCGTGCAAGCCGAGCAGCTGCCGGTCCATGCAGCCGAGCCAGCGACGTCCGCGGCTCCTGGCCTCGCCGGCGCGAGCGCAGCAGCTCCTGGCGTGGCAGGGCTGCTCCGTCCTCCTCACCGCCACCGGCTTCACCTCGCAGCGGCTCGCCGAGCGCGGCATCGCCGCGCCGACGGCACAGAGTCTCGCGGTCTACCTAGTGCTGATGCTGCACGCGATCACGGCGCGGCGCGACAATCGTGTCGCCGGCCTGCCGCCGGTCGCGAGGCCGTGGTGGCAGTGGCTGCTGCTCGGCTTCGCAGACGTCGAGGGCAACTACCTGATCGTGCGGGCGTACCAGTACACCGACATCACCTCGGTGACGCTGCTCGACGCCTTTGCCGTCCCAGGCGTGATAGGACACACCTGAGCCACATCTCGGCCATATCTCGGCCGCATCTCGACCACATCTCGGATTAGCCTCGGCCGCATCTCGGCTACACCTCGCCGTCGCTGCCCCAGGCGTGATGGCGCTCTCGGCCCTTACGCTCGGCGCGCGCTATGGCCGCAAGCAGATCTGCGGCGTGGCTCTCTGCGTCTCCGGCCTCGCGACGCTGGTGATGTCGGACGCGCTGCTGCGGCCAATGCACAGCTGGCACCCCCAGCCGTGGCGAGGAGACATGCTCTGCCTCCTCGGTGCCTCGCTGTACGCCTGCTCCAACGTGGCCGAAGAGGCGTTTCTGCGCTCCTCCTCGGTCTCCAACTATCTCCCGCGGCTCGGCGCCGCCGGCGCTCTCCTCTCGGCGGCGCAGTGCGCGCTGATTGAGCGCGAGGCGCTGGCCTCCGCGTGGCGCGCCTTCTCCTCCGCTAGCCTGGCCGGCCGCACCGAGCTGCTACTGCTCGAGCTGCTCTTCGTCGGCTCGATGGCGACCTCCTACTCGCTGGCCTCTTCAGTGATGACCACCAACTATCAACGAATAGCTATGAACTATTAGGCGTCCTCCTACTCGCTGGTCTCTTCTCAGGAATGACCAACAACTAGTAACGATCAGCGGTGAACGAATAGGCGTCCTTCTACTCGCTGGTCTCGCACCTGCTGCAGCGCGGCGCCACCGCCGCGGAGATGAACATCTCGCTGCTCACCTCCGACTTTTGGTCTGTTCTCGCCGGCGTCGCACTGCTCGGCTCGCGGCTGACCTGGTGGTACCCGCCCGCGTTCGTCGCGACGCTCTCAGGCCTCGTGCTCTACTACCACCGGCCAGCGCCCTCCGCCGCCCGGCAGCTGACCGAGCCGCTCAACGCGAGGCCGAGGGCCGCGGCGCCGGTGGGCGCGATGGAGGAGGGCGGCGCCGGCTTGCGCGAGGGCGAGGGCGAGGCTGGTCATCGCGCCGACGCCGCTGCTCGTGCCGGCGGCCAGCCCGATGGCCGCGTCGAATAGCCGAGGCTATTTGAATCCCGTCCGCTGACCGCGATTCGAATAGCCGAGGCTATTTGAATCCTATCGCCGCTGACCGAGCTGTCGGGCTGTGCTCGTGAGGGAGTTTTGTGAATTGTGCGATCGAGGGTCCTGCCCCGACCTTTTATAGATTTTTATCGTTTTACCTGACCTGGCCTGACCTGACCTGACCTGACCTGACCTCTGAGACCTTATCGCTTATGGCAGAGGCGCCCTCCTCTCAGTCCGAGACACTCGCACTTTTAACGTACGTAAGAGGGAGAGCGCGGCGCGGCGGTGGGGACCTGGGGACTGTGGTGCCGCGACACTGCGGACTGGGCGGGGGGCGGCGGGTGCAGGTGTGCTGTCTGCTGAGCGCGGTGCCGCTGCCCACTTCGGTGGCTTTCTCCCGCCTTCCTACACTACTCTCTTGGGTTTTTTTCGCTCCAATCCTGCGGATCTTCAGTCGGAGGGCTACGAAGCCTTCACACTCCAAGGGGCTGGCCGCTGCCGGTGGGGCGCGCGCGGCGTGGCGGGGGGCAGGAGGGGCAGCGTGTGTGGGTGTGCCCAGAGGTCCGTGCCCGCCGTGGGGCCCTCCAGGGGCCTTGCACTTTGAATGCTGTGGGGCTCCTGGCTGCCCGTGTCCGGGGGAGGAGATGCGAGGGTTGCCCCCCCTTGCCCCACCACTGTGTGTGTGTGGAGAAATTTACCTTACCTTACCCCTTGTTACCTAAGGGCTACAAGGTGTACCTTACTTACCTCACAACAGGCGCCCGCCCAGCGCGGCGCTGCGCGTTGCGGACGCGAGACGCTGGTTGGGCGGCAGCCACGCCGAGGACGTCGGCTGCGTGAGCGCGGCGTTCAGCTCGCGTGTCCCGACGGTGCGCCGCGTCGCGCCGCCCTCTCCTGCCGCCGGCGCAAACTCGGCGCTCGCGACGAGGAGGCGGCGCATGTGCGCCTTGACGGCGCGCTGGACAAAGGAGACCGCCTCGAGCTGGACGCGCGGGACGCCATGCCGGCAGCACAGGCCGAGCAGGCGGTCGTGCAGCGCGTTGAGCTGGTCAGCCTCGGCCAGGTCCACCGGCGGCGGCTCGGCGCCTAGGCCGGCGCCCGGCGCAGCGCCGCTCTCGTGCGCCTGCCCGTCGCCGGCAGCGCTGAAGCTCTCCTTTCCCGTGTCGTCCCTCCGTATCTTGAACGACAGCTTGAGCCCGCCGCCGCTCCCGCCGCTGCTGCCGCCGCCGCCCAGCCCGCCGCCGCCGCCGCCGCCGCCGCCGCCGGCCGCGTCGCGCGCCTGGCCGACGGAGCCGCTCCCCGACACGAGAGGCTTGCGCTCCTCTGCCGGCGCAGACGGCTGCGCGCCAACCTCCTCCTCCTCAGCCTCCGGTGCGCCGGACTGCGCCTCGAGAGCGGTGCGCAGCAGCGCCAGGATCAGCCCATTGTGCAGAGGGATTGCCTCCACCGGCAGCGACGCGAGCGCAAGCTTGTCAAACTCGGGCTTGTCGATCTGCAGGGTGAGGAAGCGCGAGAGCGCGTCCCAGTAGATGGCGCGAGCGTCGTCGGCGAGGGCGGCAAATAGGGCGGTCTTGGCAGCCGCGTCGGCCATGAGGGTTCGTGCTCCTTCCCAGACAGGGGGGGCTGCCTCGGAATGTAAGCGCACTATGGCTGTGCTGTCTCCTACACAGCCATCTTACCTAAGGATGGCTGAGCTAGCTGCAGTGCAGCCAGAGCCTCCAGGCCGATGGCTGCAATACACAGAGGGCAGCCATCCTGAGTAGGGATGGCTGGAAGCTCGCTGCTGCAGCCATACCGCACGCCCCGGGGCGGGCCCTCATGGCTGAGCTGGCTATATCGCAGCCATCTTGGGTAAGATGGCTGGGCCACAGCCAATCCAGCCATCTACTATGGCTGGGGCACAGTCAGTGCAGCCATCCTCCGGAGCATGGCTGGTGATAATTCGATGGCAGCCGTCCGCCGCCCCCGCCACACGCATAAATGGCTGCGCGCTTGCCGCCCCCGGCCTCGCGGGACGGCTGCCATTGGCTGCCATCGAATTATCACCAGCCATGGCTCTGGAGGATGGCTGCAAGCTCTGTGCCACAGCCATAGTAGATGGCTGAAATGGCTGAAATGGCTGTCCCCCAGCCATCTTACCCAAGAGGGCTCACCTCGAGGCGGGCGGTAACCGGTTATGGCTGCGGTAGTGCGTCTCCAGCCATGTCTACTAAGGATGGCTGCCGTGTGTGTGTGTTGCAGCCATCGGGCTGAAGGATGTGGCTGCACTGTAGCTAGCTCAGCCATCCTTTAGGTAAGATGGCTGTGTAGGAGACAGCACAGCCATAGTGCGCTTACATTCCGAATCGAGGTGCTCCGTCGCTGTCAGGCCGTCCCCGCAGACGCGCAGAGGTGTGGGACGGGAGGGTTGAGAGAGAGACCCATGACCATCCCATGACTACATGGACCACACTCACATTTCTTTGCATGTAATAGTTTTGTTATACCCTCATGGGGCACAAGAAAGAGGCTCTACGCACTACGGGGTCGGACTGTGTACGGTCTGTGCTGCTGTCGGGCTGTCAGCGCTGCTGTCAGGCCGCACTGTGTGCTGTCGGGCTGTCGGGCAGCTGTCAGGCTACAAATGAAGCTACCAGCTAGCCTTCTGGGGCCCTACAGTCATATATATGCCTACGGCGTCTGGGTGGGGTGGCCGCCGCCGTCTGTGCCGCCGCCGCCGCCTGCGCCTGCGCCGCTATATGCGCTCCCCAGGCGGCCGCCGCCGCCGGCGTGATCACGCCGTGTACTTTTAGGAGGAGAGGCTGAGAGTATGTGTAGAGAGTCCTGCTGGTCTCCTCTTGATCGTAGTGTCATAAGTGTGGCTGGTGTGTGTCAGAGCGCTGACAGCACCCCGACAGCACCACCTGACAGTACCTGACAGCAACAGCCCAACGTCTGACAGCAGCAGCAGCCTGACACAGCCAGCTGACAGCTCTCTGTCCTCTGACAGCTCGTCCGACAGCCGGTCTCGCGCGGTCTGACAGGTGACAGAGCAACAGCCAACACCCGACAGCTCCGACAGCACCCGACAGCTACAGAGCACCTCGACTGTCAGACACGCACCCGACAGCACTGACAGCACCTGACAGCTGGTCTGACAGAGGCACCTGACAATGCCTGACAGCTGCCCGACAGCCCGACAGATCACCTGAGTGTCCTGACACAGCAACCTCTTTGACAGCCAAAGTTGACAGCCTGTGACAGCCAGGGCTCAGTTCGTGTTCAGCGCGCACATTAAAGCTATAAGTCGCACACGCCTCACATCACACACGCACACGCACACGCACATCAGCCACGTCGACAGCACTACTTCGATTCCTTAGAGGTGCGACAGTTCGCTCGCTTTGTCGTGCGGCAGCATAAGCCCGTGCAACAGGCGAGAGACGCCTCCGTGTGTGCACAGCTCCAGGCGGCGGCGGTCGGCCTCGCACGACTCTGTCGTGCCATTGGGCTTGGTGGCGCGCTTGACGCAGCGCAGCCACGAGCGCGTCTCGTCAGGGCAGACCGAGTTGCAGAGGCACACCGTATTCTTGGCTTGCAGCCGCGCCTGCCGCCGCTTCGCCTCGGGCGCCGCCAGCGTCGCGAGCTCCTGCTGCTGCTCGACGTACTGCTGGCTGCAAGAGAAGACGCCGTTGATGGCGACGCGGCACCAAGGCTCCTCGATGAGATTCTCAAAGTGGCGAATCTGCCAGACGTCGTCGACAACCTGCTGCTGCACCGACCGAAGCGCCCGGACGTCGGGCATCGTTCGGGCAGCCTGCTGCTGGCGAGCTCGAGCAGCCTCTTCTGCCATGCCTCGCGCTTGACGACGAGGAAGTGCGCGCAGAGGGTCAGAGGGGAGGTGTTGCGCTCCAACCCTCACACGTCCTGTCGTCGGCCGCCTGGTGCGTTCGGCAGGATTTTCTTTTGTAGACCGCTAGGATTGAGAGCAGCCTGACTCTCAATCCTAGAATTAAAAGATAAACGAGATGGTCGCACAGGCTGTTTTGGCCTTGCTCGACTGCACCTCGCTCGTGGCACGGCACCCGCCTCCACTGCTCCACGCGCCGCGATACGCACCACTCGTGGCCCTTACTGGCAGCGTAGCGCCCGAGGAAGCGGAGGCGGCAGTCGAGAGGGCGGAGGCGCTCGCGGCGCAGGCACTGACGGCGCGGGAGGAGGCGGACAGGCTGGCGGAGGCAGCCGAGACTGCGGCGGAATCCGCCGCTGACCGCTCGGACAGCGCGGCGGAAGACATCGGCGGCTCACAAAAGTTCAGCCTCTCCATGCTCGCCAGCTCGTCCGCAGCGCAGGCCGCGTCGCTCGATGCGGGCGCGCAGCTCGCGAGCGCTGTGGAGGCGGCGGAGGCGGCGGACGAGCTCGACAAGCAGGCTGCCGAGGCGCTGGAGGCCGCGGAGGAGATGCTCGCCCTCTACTACGACCAGGAGGGAGGGGCGTCGAGCTGAGGACGGAGGAGCGGAAATGCCGGCACTCGTGTGTCGCAAAAAGCGCATGTGTGTGTCTGACTGTTGTACGAAGTACACAAAAAGATTTTGCAACCACGCCGTCGGCCGTCGCCGTCGATCGCGCTAAGCTCAAAAAAAAGCAACTACATCGACGATCGCGCCTCTGTACAGTCACGCTGGCGATCACGCCTCTGGGGCGGCGGGGGGCGGAGGACGGTGGTCTCGGCCCTCTCCGAGTCTCGGGTGGGAAGGTGTGGTGCACAGCTCTAAAGCCGTACGGGCGTGTGTTCGTGTTGACACAGCGACTTCTCCCCGTCTGTTGTGCGCGCGAAACAGCCTCCTGAGGCGGCCTCCATGGTTGTGGCCGGCGGCCGATCGCCCAGCACCGCGTCACGCGCCACGTACCGCCACTCGCCAGGCCGCAGCGCGAGGTCCTGCGAGCGGTGAAGGGGCGGAGTGGCGAGCAACGGTCGGAGCTGCTCTAGGCTGACGCCAGATTCGGCCGGATCTCGGCCGGATCTCGGCCAGATCTCGGCTACATCTCGGCGGCGAGCGCCTCGGCGTTGAGCCTCCCGACGCCCACGCGGACCAGGCGCAACGTCTTGTGTCCCGCGCTCTGCGTCATCCGCCGCACCTGCCGGTTCATCCCCTCGGAGAGCGTCACCTAAATCTCGGCTAAGCTCGGTCAATCTCGGGTCATCTCGGCTGATCTCCCCTCAGTCCGAGCGTCACCTCGAGCCACGTCACCGGACCGCCGGCGCGAGCGCCGGCCAGCCGTGGGTCGGGCGGGGCGCCGGCCGCCGTCGCCGCGCTCGCCGCGTCGATGCGCCGCACGGCACACGGGCGCGTCAGCCTGCCGCGGATATTCAGCCCGCCCGCCGCCATCGCAGCCAGCGACTCGTCGGTGGGGCGGCCGAACACGAGCGCGAGATAGCGCTTGCGCACGCCGCCCTGCAGCACCGCGTGGCAAAAGGCCCCGTCGTCGGTCAGCAGCAGCAGGCCCTCCGAGTCGCGGTCGAGCCGGCCGACGGTGTGCAGTCCCGGAGGAAGAGAGAGGTGGTGCAGGGTCGACCGACTCCTGGCGCCGCCCGCGGCGTCGGCAAAGCTGCAGAGCGTGAGGTACTCCTTCCACAGGGCGAGGTAGCGCTTAGGTGGGTCGGCGTCGCTGCTCGAGGCCGCCATGAGCGGCTACGAAGAGAGCGGTCACCCGAGTTGGAGAGCGATGAGGCAGAGGATGGCGCGACAGGAGAGAGAGCGTTGAACGACGGGCGGGACGACGGTGGGCGACCCGTGGGGGCGACCCGTGGGCGACCCGTGGGCGACCCGTGGGCGCCTCAGAGAATTTTACCAGAAGCCTCAGAAGAAATAGCTCGCGACGTCGCGCCGTCCTCCCATCCCGCACCAGTATGTGGGAGACTCGTGCCGCCGCCCCTGCCACCCCTGTGTCAGTGTGCATGTGCGAGAGACTGCCAGCGACAAGCTGGAGGCAGGTCGCTAGATAGACTGAGATGAGACCCAGTGGATGTGGGAGTCCACCGCGCACCGCGCTGCGAGCCTGTCGTGTCCCTTGTCAGGAGCAGGAGAGCCCCACCTGTCCCCCTGATCGTCCTTCCAAAATCCTGCTCGTGCAGGTGGGGACCCTGTCCTCGTCCCATCCCTCGTTTGGCGTGTCTGTTTTCTTTCTTTCTTTCTTTCCCATCCCGCACCACACCCCTCTTCTTAAAATCCCTGTGTGGTGGCGGCGTGCCGTCCTCCCATCCCTCCCTTGGTTGTCTGGTTTATTTCTTTCTTTTCCTCCCATCCCTCCCTTCGGGCGCAGCCCTCTCAGTTCACGAGGTGAACCGTGAACCCGGTTCATGAACCAGTTCGCGGCGGTTCACGGTTAGTTCACGGTTCGCGGTTCACGGACTCGGGGCGGGGGCTAGTCGGTTCACGGTTCACGGTTCGGCCCGACGCTGCCCCGCCTGGTTCGTTCACGGACACGGTTCGCGGTTCGCCCTTTTGTCCTGCCTCGGTTCGGGTTCACGGTTCAGAGTTCACGGTCCGGTTCGAGGGTGAACCACTGAACTAGTTCGTGAACCAAGCTTATTTTCACACCTCTTACACACCGACACAGTTCGAGAGATTTTTAGCAATACCAAACAACTCTAACACTCACACGTCATTCGTCATTTGGGGCCTTCACGCGCGCGCGAGACGTGCAGACAGGGTTGCCAGGTGAGAGCGAATGGCGCGGTTCACGCCTCGCACAACAGAGAGAGAGATGCGCTCTGCATGGTGGGACATGGTAAAAGAGAGCGAGTACTTGGGCGAGTAGGCCGTGCGGTCGACGCTGCCGCGCGCGACTTTGCGCGCGAGGCGGCGCAGCTTGAGAACGGCGGTGGGCGAGAAGCCGCCGCCGAACGTCTCGTGGAGCAGCAGGTTGAAGTTGTTGCGCTACCTTGACAAAGATCACGTCGTGGTAGAAACCGCGATGCGCCTTGACGTAGCCGTGGCCGTTCTTGTGGTCGAAGGGTTGGCCGGGCTGCCCGCTTGACTTCATTCACCTCATCGCATCCTCCCGGGCCAGCGTGGGGTTCCGCGAGGTCGACCTTGTACCCCTCGTTGTACTGCCGGGTGGCGGGTGAGCTCTGGTTTCTCCTTGTCACCGTGCACGACCCCGGCGCGTTGGCTGGGGCGCGCATTGCGTCCGCCCAGGCGGCGAGGACGCCGTCGTGGGGCCGCCGGTGGTTGTTTTGCACAGTTCGCGAACCACAGTTCGCGAACCATCCGTGAACCGAGACCCAGAAACTCGAACCAGCGCCGGTTCGCCAGACTCGGTCCGTTCACGGTTCACGGTTCGCGGCGGGTGTCGCGGGAGGAGTCGGTTCACGGATCACGGTTCACGGACTTGGGGTGGGGGCTAGTCGGTTCACGGTTCGGGGTTCACGGACTCGGGGCGGGGGCTAGTTGGTTCACGGTTCACGGTTCACGATTCCGGCGTGAACTGAGACGGCTGTCGGCTCT